CAATGACAACTGCTACCTACCCTGAAAATAGCCTACTGTCCAAGAGGTACTTTCAAATGGCGGTTATCATGATTAACTGGCAGGGGGGAATAATCGCATTGATTGACCTTCATGTTCTCATGCATGAGCAAACACGCTGTGCTTAAGTCTCCCCGTCTTCCAACCGCGCTGGGGGACGTACAGTATACCGTGATTGGTCTCAAAACTCATGCTGAAGCTAGTCAGACTCAATGGGCAAGCTGATTGGGTGACGATTATATTAAACTACGGAGTTGCATGTACTGCCATCCTGGCCCGCTCTTTCTCTGCTGTGCGGTGAGGCCAGGTCCTCAGATCCAAGTCTCGCATCAAGTGACAGTGCTATTTGAAGTCTGGCGATATGCGGCTCTGTTGACCCGTGCCCCTATTAGCTAACTCAATGAATACACACGTAATTTCACCTTTGTAACGATTCATATCGAGCATCTATTTATTGTTTGTGAGTCTTGTGTTTGCCATTTGCTTGCCTTAAGTGTACAGTAGTACTCTCAAATCTGGTATCTCACAGCGGTAACGCTTCTAATACATGTGACTACCACATAGCTGCTTCATAATAGTGAATTGTTCCCAACTGTTATTTCAGTTCATTGTATGTACCATTCTGCCTTTTTTTTCCCCCTATAAAATGTCACTGGTCAAATGACTGAAGGTCTTCCGAAAATTTGAGGTCAGAACATTCGCAGGAGAGTGCTGTACTACACGTGTCCAACCATTTAAATCATTCAAATCGACTGCAGCATGGCATCGTCCTCATTCCTCATTAAGGTAAGACCATGTCATTTGTTTGACCGGATACATCGACAGCAAAAAAAAATAATAATTGAATAACAAAACAAAAACATATACATATACAGTACATATAAAGCCATAGAAGACCTGGAAATAGAGTATGTTGCTGATTCCAGTCCAGTTAAGTGCCTGTCTTGCCTCGGGCTTGGCAGGCTACGCCAAGTCGGCTTCATAAATACTTCATCAGAAATGCTTGATGAAAACCGTGCTTCTCTTAGGTACAACTGCACTCTGGAGAGCTTCATTATCTGCGGGTCTGTACCTAATGCCTGGTACACACACCAATATTGTTACCAACTAGATCGTTTCTGAGCATGTGCGGGACCATCTACGTGAGAATATAAGCAAAATGTGTTGTCATTGTTCGTATTACAGTGTGGCGTACGTACTTGGAAATGACCAACAAAGCGCACCGCACACTTAATGATCTCCCTACCAACAAATGACCCTTTCACCCAAAACTAGAAGTCCACCACCTCGAAAGACGTGAGAGAGGCAGTACTGAGGAAAAATCGAGGAAAAAGAGTCCCACAAATAGAAGAATCAAGGCTGAGTTTTAGCAATTTCTATTGTGAATGACTTGGAGGACACGTTATTATAGTATTTAGTTTTTTTTCCAGATTTTGTTTGCCTTTTTATATTTACAAATAAACGATTTTGGTTGAATACATCCTGCACTCCCACCTTGCTTTTCCTGCTTCCCTAAAATGGGTCCAACTCTTACCTCCACCACCAAACAGCCTCAGTAACACATTTCGGAGGTAGAATAGGATCAGCTGTTCAACTGAGGATGTGGGCAATTTTAACGCAGATGTTCAGCATCATGAAGGAATCATTTAAAACATATTTTTTCTGAAACATGAATAGCACCAGAGTTCAGTTCGAGGCCTTCTCTGCCTCTGCTTCTTGTTTGTCTAGCCTTTTCTTCTTCTAAATACACGACAAAGCTCTGGAGATGCTCCACCATGTGTAAAAACAGTTAAGACTCACTCGCTTTCATGAAGTCGAACATCTCTTACTAAATTCTCCTCCTTCAATCAGAACATCAGTGCAATTGCCCAGCAAGTTGTTGTGGTAATTGCCTCTCTTTGATATACAATATAAAACAACCATTCGGCTTGCCAGGGTACACCTGATGTAGAACACGGCCTGCAACCTCTCATATTGGTCCAACCGCAAATGCATGACTCACTACTTATATGGGACATACAGTATAAAGAAACGTTAAGAGGGAACATATTAGCCTAAGCACCTGTCACTGCTTGTGTACGCATGCACTTGCGCCTGAGTCCATACAAATTGATAATAGAATACTTTTTGCAAACAGCACTGTGACCAACACGGATACTATAAGTGATTTCTGTATGCCAATTGCCAATAAACAAGCCGAATCATGAGAACAAATTTACAATAGAAAATAGTCCGATTTCTTCCTCAGGAATGAAAGTCGATGCTCGAAAGGAATGTCGGCTCGAGAAAGAAATTGTATATTTCAAGGAGAGACGAGAACAGCCACTTCCTAGCAGAAGTGCAAGTATAAGCAAAGTACATTTGAAAAGACTTTTAAGTGTGAAAGTAAAAAGACAATTGACATCAGTTTTTATTAATTATTCTTTAACAGTCCTTCTGATTTAGGGCCGCGCTTGAAGCTACAATTGAGTTATATGGCCAGTTCCTCTGAGTTGCAGTAAGAGACCCTGTGATCCGCTAACATAGTTAACATAGCTCTGTAAAGGGTCGGTCCAGTTCCCAATCTTTTTTGTTTCTTGGCACCATGGGCCGCTTTCACGTCAGGACATAGACTATCGCAAGGCTCGAAATAAGCACGTTCCCAACCCTGTTTGCGACATAAGATGTGTATTTTGACCCTCAAACGAACCCATTGAAACGCAAAACTGCGGATGGGCCGGGATTCATGTCGGAAAACGCAGAGCTGCCAAATGTTATGGAATCACAGAGTGAACTTGTTAAGCCCGTCACACATCGAGTAAGTTCTGAATATTAGAACAAAAACAAACACAAAAAGAAAGAAAATCATCAGAGCGGCCACCGTTAGCGAGTGCTTGTTTTGCCTTCGGCTCCACTTCCTCTGTTTTTTTCTTTTTTTTTTTCTGCTCGGTTCCCACTGTGTAGGACTCAATAGGAGAGGAGCGTGGCCACCCATCTGTGTATCCCCCCTTACCAATCGGAAAAGACAGCCTGTCTCGTGTTTCTTGGCGCCGAAATGAAGCATATTACAACGGCAGGAGCCGCTAAACACACTGAGGCTATGTTTAGCTGGCTCGGCCGGTTCGGTCTGGTCTGTGCATGTTCTGATTTGACGTAAATGCCCAGTGATGTCATTGTTTACGCACTTGAAAATGGCGGCACCTTCTCGCAGCTTGTCTGTGATGGGAGAACTTGTTTCAAGCTATTTGTAACTTGTTTTTATCCCGCCGTTGCTTTCATAAAACTGTGAAAACAATCCCGACCACTGTGCTAAAACAGATGAGTGAACTCCATCTTGGTAAATCTTGTGATTTTTACATCGATCTGCGCAGGTCACACCGCTGTAAAACGGCTCTTCTGATGAAAACGGTGGAGTTGGTGACCAGAGATCTTCAGTCAGAATCATTTCAGTTCGGATGAAAAAAAAAGTCTCGATGTAAACAATTTAAGGCTGGTGATTTGTGTAATTTAGATCATTTTGTCCTGCTTTTGAAATCAGATACAATTATCAGACATCTTTAATTGCTGACTAATATTTACCACAAATTGTTTGTAACTAAAAGGCAAGGCAAGTTTATTTATATCGCATATTTCATTTAGAAGACAACTCAAAATCCTTAACATAAAACATTCAACGGATTACAGAATGAGAAACAAAATATTATGATATTAGACATTATACAAATCAGAAGAAAATCATCTAAGATAATTAGATTAAAAGATTATAACCAAGCATCAGTCCAGATAAATTAAAAGATAGTGGGAAAATAGTGATGAAAATGAGAAGGATAGATTCAGAAGAATACCGCAGAAACAACAAAGTTTTCATCCCTGGTATAAATGAACTGAGACTTTGAGTAGAACTCAGGTATTCAGAGTTTTTTTCCACAGTTTATATTTTTTTTCTACACACCCAAGGTGTGTAAAAGCGCTGACTCGATCTTGAGCGCAATGTTCAATTTTCTTTCCTCATGCGCACCGGCACACCACTTATGTACACCCCTGCATATAACGCAATGTACTGAAGTCAATACAAATAAATGTTAGTGTTGTATTAAGCAAAATAATGTTGCCCAGAGGAATTGAGCGATAACAGCAGTCCCCCGTGGATGTAGGCCATAGTTGAGAGTGACTCAACAGCAACTCTCTGTTGGTCACTGTCAAGTAATGCACACCATTTTGCTGCAGTTGCTTCAAGATAGGGATTAATTAATCAAGTCCATAAAATCAAATGACTTCTTAACAATTGGGAATTATTCCACCCATCTGAAATTAAGGAACTGTTAACATCCAGCGGTCACCTCTTATGTTTCTTTCTTCTTTTTTTTTTTGAATGAGTGTTGTGATAAGTCGGGAAAAATACAGTTGCTCAGAAAGACTCAAGACATTCAATTAACATTTATAAACATCCATTAACCATTAAGATGCAGCACTTGATGACAACAAGTAGACAGTCAGGCGGTCAATCTGGAACATGAGTCATATCTCAGTGGCTGATGAAATCCAAAACCAGCCCCACACACATTGTTATGATAAAATGTGTTGCAAGTTTGTTAAGTTAGTAAAAAGGTACATCGCTTCTGGAGTCTGGACAACACACATGGTTAAAATGATAAAACATGCCACTGTGCCCTCCGCACACACACAAAAACACAGCAATGTCCACAGTAATTATACCATCAATCTGCATGAAGCCTCAAAGTGAGCCCAGCAGGATGCTGATGAACACATTAACAGTAGCAGCAAAGTGCAAATAAACATCAGGAGGGCACAACATGGATGCCCATGAAGACTTATGATGGCCAGTGCTGATACTACACACATTGTTATTGCCCGCTAGATACGTCCTGTGGGGTACTTTGCGTAAAGACACCACACGTGCCGCAGCGAAAATGGGCCCACGGCGGCTGGAAGGTCATCACCACACAAGCGCGTGCGTTTAAAGGGCCACGCGTCCGTCTTACCTGGTCCCGCGGAATGCAAGGCAGCGAAGTCCTGCGGTGGGACTTGCTGTTGCTCTGACTGTGAGCCATCATCTCCGAGGCTGCTATGGAGCTGCACCTCCGTCTCCGCTTGAAGACAGGGATGTCCTCCTCCTTCGCCCCGGTCACAGAGCCACAGCACCCCGTCCCGCTGGTCCCTGGGGCCGGCAGGAGCCGGTCAGCATACCGCGGAAGCAAAACACCCAGCAGGCAGGCCAGGTAGAGTCTTCCAGCCGGCCTGGGCTCTGCTTCCAGAAACAGGGGAGGCGGCCTTGGTGAAACGCCACGGACACTCCCTGACCCAGTCGGACGAGCAGCGGGGTCCGGCCAGCCGAGAACGTGCGGCGGGGTGAGGAGGGAGGGAAGGGAGCGAGGGAAGTAGGTGGGGGCTGACTGCGCAGCGGTTTGGCTCAAAGTGGCGCACCGCGAGACGAAAAACAGCGGCACAACTGATGAGGGACGGGCCCGACCCAAAAGAAGGCACAGTGACCGTAAACACGGAGGGTGGGGGTGGGTGTTGAGGCGCACGAACACAGGCAGCCAGTCAAAAGCAGCTCAGGAGCGCATCCGGCCGCCGAAGGCAGACGAGAGCCAGAATCGCCTCGATGCTTTGTGAAGTCCGCATCACGCAAACGGACCTCGCTGCTCCTTTGAGAGACGCTGCCCAAGTGTCAGATAATCTCAGCCTGCTACTACAGCGTGACACGTGTGCTCGGGTCGCCAAGCGCTCCGAAGCCGCCGGCGGGATGTTTGTCACAAGCGGCGCTTGATGAGCCTCTGGACCAGTCCACCTCGAAGACCGATACCATCATCATCATCAGTCGAGCGCGAGAGCAATGCTGCAAATTAATACCGATGCAAAGCCGCTTGAGCATGTAGTTGATATTTTTGATATTGGGTTTAAGCCTTACAAAGTGGGTCGTGTTGGACCCGTTTTGAATTTTGATTCAAATGGCTAAAACAATTGACATAAAAAAAGAAGACATGCAAAATGTCATTCTTTCAACCTGAGTTTTGATGCCTTTTCCTAAAGTCATTCAAAGTATACACAGGTGAATGCACTTTAAAATGTCATTCTTTTATCCACTGTTGTGCAACAGAACGTTCTGTCCACTAAGGCTGTTGCGGGTAAATGGCGCTACTACTACGAGAAGCACACATACGTCAACTATAGCGCATACTCGGACATGTGAAGTTGCAAATAGAGAAATTAGATGAGCCTTCTCTACTCCATCCATTATTTGTATGCGTGTGCGCGCGCGCATGTGTGTTTGCCGCTCGCTCTAACCGTAATATGGCACGTGTGTTGTCACTCCCAGAGACAGCGCAAGAAAGCATCGCCTACTGTATGTCTTTTTACTGCGGAAAATGACCAAAAAACCCAGCTATGCACAGTTAATTGGAAAAGTAACGTTAATCTGATTACTGGTCTCGAAATGATACTCGTTGTTAAAGCGTGAGAGTAATGCATTGCATATTAACTAACACATTACTGACCTCACTGCCAACATCTTTCACTTACTAACCTGAACTTAAAAAACTACAATGTGGTGTATAAATAATGCAGTATACGCTAAATCAGATTTCCGATTCATTTCAATTCCCATTTATGTTTTCAGTGGTAAACGGTCATGTGAATATTGTCGGGATGGTGATAGCTGCATTGGTTTTGTCAAGAGCACATTGTAACACACATAATGAATTTGACAATCAGTGTGACACAACATAGTGAAAACGTCACTTCCGCATATTTTTTAACCAAAATGTACTTTGTGGCTTTGCATTTTGTTTACCTGCAGCATTAACGGCTAATACAGAGAGTATTATACGTCAATGTCTTTATTTGTATGCACCTCCCCCTTGTGACCTTACATACTAAGAACAAATACCTTGTCAGGAGATGTGAAGAAACTGAGAAAAATGTTATCACGTTTTTCTACCTGTGCTCCACTGCTGGTCTCAGTCCAATTTGTTTGAATTCGGTTTCCCAATCTTCCGCTCGCTGCAGACACCTCTGGGTGACCCTCACTCTGTTTGCCCAACTAACTACTCAGCACTGCAGCCACAGGGATAACAGGATAATGCGCCCGCACTCGCTAACACACACACACACACACACACACACACACACACACACACACACACCCACACACACACACACACACACACACACACACACACACACACACACACGCACACACACACACACACAAGGGCAATCACCAGAGGCATCTAAATTCCCAGTCAAACTAAACAAATATTAAACGGAATTCAGATACGCGTGATATTGCTACAAACTCAGATTACTGTTGAACTTGCAATAAACTTAATTGGACAATTGATATCGAAAAACACTTCCAAGACAGTACCAAAAAAAAAAAAATCATGCTCATGATACACAGCTCGTGTACTGTAAGCTACTGGCAACAATATTGTCACTTCTCGGCCGTGGTGTAGAAGAAAAATATATGATCTATATTATATATAATATTCTGATGCATCAAATCACTGTCAGAAAGCATGGTGACACATTGTGCAGTGTACACGTGGCCCTGCATAATATTTTTGGCAAACGCGTGTGTACAAACACACGGACGGGCATGATTCATCGGCCTATTTTTCTGAAGTCATCCACAAAGGGTGATTGATTCACATCGTTATCGTCACATCACTCAAACAGGCGACTGGTCGCGATTAGTAGCGGCGAGCAATCAAACAATCTTACTTGGATTTAATACGAGCAAAAACAATAACGCAAGAACGACGCCTCGCACATTCACACATGCAGACGTACACAGGTCACATGAACGTTTCTAATGTTCGTTAGTGGAAAACATGACACAAACATCGAGAATTTTAATGACTTTGGACGAGAGACTAGGTAAAAAGAGAGTGAGTTATATCAGTTGAAGCTCCTCGGCCAAATTCTAGGTTCATATCTAATGACGTGAAGAACATGAGAAACGCAACTGTTTGTCTTTCATCTGGATGTATATGGCCCCCTACTTCAAAGAGCTTCATCGGCTTCACCGGGAATGGAGAAAAGAATATTTTAGTGTCTTTATTGTCTGTATTTGGATTAAGAACATGAACGGAATATTCGTGAAAACAATCTTGATTCTTCCATCTATCCATTTTCAACAGTGCTTATTCTGTACAGGGTCGCGGGGGTGGGGGGTAAATGGAACCAAAATGATGGATGGCCAGATAACACAATGCATTATGCCCCCCCCCCACCCCCACCCACACACACACATACACACGTACATGCGCACACGGTCCATGTCTGCTGCCTGGAGGATGGGAACCCCTGCTGTGTTACCCCGGCTCAGAGCAATGTCCTACCAGAAGCATAATATAATTTTCCTAACTTGTAAAGCCATTCACCCAGCAACGGGCTTGAACAAAACTGTCAGAATTGGTGAGGCAAAATGATAATGCCGTGCGAGTTGCTTGCACGGGTACGTTTGTGTGCTGTGAAACCACAATGTCCTGTAAAAGCATGAGGGAATCTTGAATAAATACATGACTAAATCCATGTGTCAAGTCCCCCCAAGACCGTCTCCCATCTCTTTGCTTCCTGCCTGGTTCTCCCAGACTCTCTGTTGCTTTATCATCTTGACACCTTCCCATAGGAGACTCGCAGAAATATGGAGAAGAGAGAAAGAAAATAGACTGAATGGCAGATTTAATGTGCAGTAAAATCTCATGGGTCTCATTTATATAGAATTTTTGGGTCATAATCACAAGGGATTTTGTAAAATAAGGAGCCGTGGAAAATCCACATCATACTTGGAATATGTGCCATGAAGAGTACATCGATGCTTCCGAGAGGTAATGTCTGACAAACCATGGCCATGTATATCCGATACAATTGGGGACTTTTCCAACTTTGCATCGTACAACGGAGTCTGTTCGAGCGGTGATGTACCAGAATTTGTGGGAAAAGAGAAGGACCTCCTATCAGTGTGACAGATTCGATACAATCCCAAATATTTCCTCGCTCCTCAGAAAAACAGCATGCTCGCGGCCGGCGGCCTGTCATGAAGCACTGCGCTTCTCTCTCTCCCCAGAGTCACTTCTATACTCAGTACGTATGTGAATCTCGCCTGTAGTTGTTTCCCGGGTTTCAGTGAGCCCGTAAAAGGATGTCTTGATCTCTCATCTGAGGCTTCGGTTTGACCATACTCCCTTTTGTGTAATAAATGATAATGCAGCTGTGAAACCACAAACATTCTGGACAAAAAGTATTGAAATAACGTGTGAAAACCAAAAATGCATTTTCCTTGGAGACCAAAATCTATTGCAACCAGACATCTCAGTTTTTTTGTTTTTGTTTTTGTTTTTTTGTGTATCCGTGCACGTTCACAGATTCAGTATTTCACTGAATGCAGTCTTGTATAGCTTCTTGGAGCTCTATATACTCAATATGGGGGCTCACCACGGCCTAGAAAATATTCATGCGACTTCACAATAATTTCAAGATGAAAATAAAACATAGATCCTTATGCATGCATCTCAACGAAAATGGGATATGATTAACGATGGGCTTCATTATTAGTATACAAGTCGAACAGTGAAAACATCATATCCACAAATGGACAACAAGACAGTAAAAAGGACTGTTTTTTTCCTGAATCTTCATTTTCTGGGGCAAACTATGAATGCATGCACTAACTGCAAGTTTTTTACACTCTGTGACCGTATTTTATATTACTGCTGAACAGAGCATCACATTATGCTCTCCCCGTCTGTCCTTTCGCTGGAAAGCTCCCTCATGCGGGCAACTGTCATCCGATTCCAGCATTGATGTCATAAGTGGCCCAATTTCTAAGCACCTGATTGGCTGATCCGCTGTGACACCGCTCTCCTCTTTGTTATACAGTTAACAAATTCACGTCACAGTGGTAAGTGGTCTCCTCTCCCTCTCCGCTCTCTGTCTGGCTATCACTTGCCATGGTCTCCTTTTTCCCTTCTTTTCAGTCTTATGTGTATGCGCAGCTCTTGTCCAACTGCAGTATAAGGGAAAAAAGGAGACGGTGATGCATGCAGCTGTCAGAAATGGGAACAGACCTCAATACAAGCAGACCTTGACATCTGGATGCTGTATGCATTGAGCCCACAATAATTATTGATGGTTAGACATTATGTGTCC